TGAAAAACATATTGCAATAAATAAATTGTGCACAACTTGTGTTTAAATGAACTTTTTCAAATCAACTTCACATAAATCACAAAAGTAAGTAATTAACACATTATTTGCGTTAAATTTTATTACCTGTTTATTGTTTAGTAATTTAGTTTTATTTATTTTCAAAAAATAAGATCAATGTTATCCATGTCTGTGTTAACTCCATATACAGTAATACAGTATTTTTAGACAATAATAATTTATGAAGTATTATACAATCAAATACATGATAATAAACTAAATAAATCTCATTGAAACTATTGTTTTGTTAATTTATTATTTCTTTAATTATATGACATTCAATCATAATTTAAATTTAAATCTTTGAAATAATTTGATTAATACTATAATTAATAAAATTATATAATTATATCTGTAGACTAATAAATCAATAAATATTTATTTGGCTTACATTTGGATTATCAATATCTCAATATTTACACTACTCTTTCAATATTACGATAAAACTCTTATCTATTAAATTGATTGCCAAGAATTTAATATCAATACATTAGTTGATAGTATCGTTATATTGTATATCCATGTATTATACGATATTATGCATCACTCCATCAGAATTACCATAAATTGTTTTTGTGTGAAATATTTAATTATAATAAGAATCTTTGCACTAAACTAATATCGACTATACTTAATAAGAATTGTGGATAATTTATTAAACATTGAAATATAAAATTCAATTGTATTGACAAAATTCAAGGAAAAAACGAAACATTTATTTAAACGCAAACTCAATATTGAATTAAATTTTCCGCATTAAGTCGTTTCAGACAATTATCTTAAATGAATACTGAATAATAAAATATACGAAATAATAAATGACTAAAAATATGACGAAAATCCCATTTTAATAGCTTTTCTCCATAATTAGAAACTGAAGAAAAATGTTTTATAATATTTTGTGACTAATTTTGTTACACAAAAGGATATCTATTGTTATGAAAAAACTCCCAAACAATACACATATAAAAAATAATTACTTTAAAGACAACAACAAAAAAGAAAATGTTTGTCTAAAAACTTTATACTAAACCAAACTTTTCTTAATGCGAAATGACTTCTGTATGTGAGTGTAGTGTTAGGAGAGGACCAGTAGTGACCATAATTACAATGTTTTACGTTTGAAAGAACCCCCTAATAGAGAGCACAGGTATTAAATGTGCTCCTGTATTACAGGCAACACATATAGCGTGACCACCTGTGCTCTATTTCAGAGAACAGTTCTCTATTTGGATCTGTATTTGGACAAAATAAAGAACTGTTCTCTATTTTAAATTTAAAATAAATGATTGGAATGTTACTAAATTTATTAACTATTTATTTATCAATACATTAATAAACTTTTTAAAGGAATTGACACTTTCTTAATTAATAATTGTCATTTTTAATACACCTAATATAATAAATTTTACTTCAACATTGGTATTAAATAGTCTCAATTTTTAAATTTAGAAGAAAAATTAACGTAAAATTTGTGTTCTCTATTTGTTCTCTATTTTAAAGAAAATTTGGTCAAATGTTCTCTATTTTTAAACCAAAAGGTGGTCACGCTAAACACATATGCAATACTAACTACAATATCCAGATAACATGTTATATAACTTATATATTTAATGCTCAAATGTTAGACCAAAAAGTTGAAGGAATGTCTTTTGATATAAAAAGTGTGAGGCATTGACTGTTCCATAGACTGAATGTCACTCTCAGTGAAGAACTTCACAAAACACTGTAATCGAGGGGAAGAGGCTCTGAAAGTTCTGTGGCTCTGAGGCTCCGGTGAATCATTTTTTCTTGTCTTTCTTTTTATGGCTTTTCTATTATATTCTTCATTTCATATCATAGCGACTGAACTCAAGGTTAGGAAACTGTAATCCATTCATATAATAGAGTAGTTTTAAAGTCATTAGATGTGAGAAATTGAGAGAAAAGGTAACGCTCTGTTCAACATATCAGCCATGCATTCAAATGCGTTCTCTCTCTCTCTCTCTCTCTCTCTCTCTCTCTCTCTCCATATATTGTATAATATTTGTGAGAATGAATACAATTATTTAAAAGTCTTGTTCCGCGTCGACGAGTGACATATGAAAGTGAAAACACATTTAACTGCAAAAGACATATACTTTCTCTAATTCTAATTGTAAATAACTTTTCCTTTTAAAATCATAGCAACAATTGTTTTGATAATTTAGTGCTGAAGTTATAACATAGAGAGTAGAGTAGACACAGAATTCATATTTAGGACAATAGAGCACTGGTATTAAGTTTAAGGCTTTGTATTATTGATAAGATAAAAGGGAAATGAAGTTTCTCTTCAAACACACCATTCCTTGTAATCGGCATTTATTTTCGCTTTTTGTGTTATAAAACTTATTATATGTTCTCAAAATTATTATAAAGCAAAACAAAAAATATAATACAGAATTACACCACTGTATAAGAAAGCATGAATTTTTGCTAATCTATTATTTCTCACAAAATTTTTTGTTTGTTAAGTAAAATGAATTGAATTCCAACATTCAATTGTGTTATCTTTTATATAATATTAGAAATTTTGCGATAAAAGCTATTAATTATGATATTTAATACAAACTTTTCGGATATTTTTGATAAAATTTGAGGTCATATACACAGAGAGCCCCTATTGTTTGCACACAACATCTGAAACCACGTTATTGTAAACGAAATGAAAAATATTTGACAAAGAATTTGAATATTTGTGAACACTTTTTCGCAGAACATGAAAAAGAGTGAAAGTTTTTGATTAGTATTGGAAGTTATATTAAAAGCCTAATTATAGCGTTGATGTGAATTGATTTTTGATGGACTGTCACGAGTTTACGGCCAGTATTTGTTTAGTGGGGATCACTGGACGGTCTCGTACTAGAGTTTACCTGCGCTCCGGTCGAGAGCCATCTGTATTTGTATAATCACCAGAATTGTTAAGAAATTTTCATAATTTTTATCTCATTCCCCACCAGTTTGAGGCTCTCTCTCTCTCTCTCTCTTGGCTCAGGTGTGCCGTATCTGTTGAGGTGTATGTGCTGTGGAGACAACACACAAGTCACTGGTTATTCAGATATTTCTCTCTTCAAAACCTGATTTGGAGCACAACAAGAGTTTACCTGCGCTCCGGTCGAGAGCCATCTGTATTTGTATAATCACCAGAATTGTTAAGAAATTTTCATAATTTTTATCTCATTCCCCTCTCTTTGCCCCTCTCTCTCTCTCTCTTCTGTTTGCAAAGAAGTTGTGCTCCAAATCAGGTTTTGAAGAGAGAAATATCTGAATAACCAGTGACTTGTGTGTTGTCTCCACAGCACATACACCTCAACAGATACGGCACACCTGAGCCAAGAGAGAGGGCTCCGGAGTCTCAGCAACTTTGCCTGTAATACTAGTTAGTAGTTGTAGTGGTGCTGGTGTTGAGAGTTAAGTCCAGTCCCAAAGTTCTCTCTCTTATTGTGTTAAAGTAGTGTAACTGCACTCCCAATGCATAAGACATTGGAGTTTCATATCAAACACAGAGCGCTCGCAATGAATAGTTAAACAAAAGTTATATAAAAAAAGTTGCATAAAAGTTGTGTTGTGTTGTGTAGTGCTGTGCGTTTGGGAACTGGTGTTGGGATTGGGAGTCCAATGCCTGTACAGCTGTATTCAAGTGCTCGTATAATATATGGTGGGGTTGTGTAGCCTTTTGGCACAGGTATAGGGGATTAAATTGATGGCAATAGTGTAGTATCGGCACAACTGGTGGCTGTGTTTTGAGGGGAACAGACATACAGAGAGTCGTCGAGTTGTGAGTCTGAAACTGTTGCACAAACACAACACACAATATATACACAGCCTTTCAATATGGCTGTGAAACACACATAGCATTCGCTGTCAATGCTATTCATCTAACCATCGCTTTATGTTATGATCACTGACTATCACTTCCCCGACAAAGTTTGTGTCCATCACTTGTGGTGTAAATGAAGAGATAATCTGACGGATTGTGTGAAACAAAGTGCCCAATAAGTGAACGCTAAATGTGTCCCAAAAATGTTATATTTGTAATGAGTTTTGTAGTGAATATACGATAACATAGGCTTTCAATAGACGACTAGTGGTTGTAATAAACGCTTCAATGAATATAATTTGAAAACAAAAGTTTTGTCAAACAATTCATACAATTTGTTATTTTCCCCCAAAAAGTGGTTAAATATCTGTTTCATTGATTGATGTTTTCGTATAATATATGCCAAAAATATAGTGTATTTTGATTAGTGTTTTGGCAAAACAATTGTCACCATTTGATCCGTGGTTTTGATTTTGATTATCATTTGGCAAATGGTTTGCCGTTTAGATGTGAATCAAATCCAGTGATCACTGAGTGTCTGGTCTTTGTTGTTGTCTATTGCTGTCCATTGCTGTCCATACCGTGTAGTGGTCTTCGCGATCACTTGAATCACATCCCGTGAAGTAATGCTTCGTTTCTTTTCCAAACGATTCCGTGTTAACAGACATGACATCAATCGCCACAATCAGGAGACCAACCGATGGTCGCACACATCGCAAGGCAGTCACCCGACGACAGGACCGCCACCACAGGTGACCGCAAATCTCAAACACTATCTCCACTGCAAAGTCATGCTTTTGGACGGAACCGATGTCTCGTTGTTTGTGCCCAAGAAGTCTCTCGGAGGCGAACTCTTTGACGAGTTGTGCGATAAGATCTCGTTGACCGTCGAGAACGACTACTTCGGCCTCCAATACACGGACACCACATCGCAGTCCCATTGGTTGGACTACACGAAAGAGATCCGCAAACAAGTGAGGATCGGTCCGCCCTATACTTTCAGACTGCGGGTGAAGTTTTACTCATCCGATCCAAACAATCTGAAGGACGAGTTCACGCGTTACCTCTTCTTCCTTCAGGTATNCTGTGATTGTGACCATTCGTGATCGTCACCACTGAGGCCGTGGCAGTAGTGGTCGGCCCCTCATTGGACTCCTCGTGAGCACTGGTATTACACGTCCCGCACATAGCGTTCTGTTTGTTTGGCTGATTCTGTAGATTCGCTTCTTTAGCCTTCAATATATTGCATTTCATGTCCGGAATCGCTGTCTTCGGTTTTGACACAACATTCGTGTTCTGATTGTTTGGCACTATTATTGATGGACCGACAACTATGGTCTGGACGGCACCGGCACTCGAGGCCGCAGTTTTGCCATTCATGTGAGACGTCTTTCCATTAGACGCGGCGGCGGAAGACTTTCCATTTGATGTCAAAGTCTTGCCATTCATATGAGATTTGTTTGACTGCGAGGAACAGTTTGAAACCGAATCTAAGTTCTTCAGCTTACAGACGGCGTCCTCCATATCATCGACTTGTGAGTTGGCTTTGGGTGCGGCCGCGGAGGCCGTCGCGCCCTTCACCGCTTCGGGAGCGGACGCACCGGAGACCAACTCATTGGCTGCTGACGTCACTTCCCCTTTAGTTAACGATTTGATCAAATTATCTAATCTCTCCTCCGCTGTGGACGGCATCGAAGAGGATTGAGTGGCGTTGGCAGCGGTCGGCGGCACAACAGGTGGTGGCACTGGCTTTGGGCGAGCAATCGTTGTGTTAGTGGTGGTCGTCGTTGTGGTCACTGCCGGTGCGATCGGCGCCGAACTAACACTCGTTTTAGGTTTCACGGAATCACTGGCTGTCGTTGTCTTATGCCTCTCGTGTCGAACAGTGGACCGCCGACTGGTATACCTCTGCGACGGGCGTCTCTCAAACTTTCGCTGATTGGCTAACTGTGCGGCCCTTTGCTGTTGGATTTGGGTCTGGAATTCGGTTCTTCCCGAATACCTAAACCTGGAGCCCATGCGGACAAAGTTCTGCCTCTGTTTCGCAGTTCCCGTTCCCGTGACGGGTGTCTTGAGTCGGAAGAAGGAGTGGTGTTCTATCGCACACTTCCACAAGTGTTTACTTGTTTTGGACGTATGCTATCAGATAAGTCACAATCAATTGTTAGTATAGAGTTTAACGTATAAATAGTTGTGTATATTATTGACAGAAATAGATAACAGAACGGGAAATGTGTATCACATTTATGGTTAGACACAAAGAGATGAATTATGAATGACATACTAATCTGAAAACGAAAGTGTGCTCCTGTTCTCTGCCCTCGTCGTCGTCTTCCACCACAACTAACGTTAATTTTTTGCCCTTAAAGTCGAGTCGCGTTATCTTCGGCCAAAAGAAGAGACCAATTTTGCTCTTCCCCTCAAACACTAGTACTCCCGTCGGAGTCAATCCCAGACTGTATTCATTGCCATCTTTTCCTGTTTTTCAATACAATGTAAAAAACAATCGATTCGTTAACAAAAAAGTCATTGAAAAAAATGTTTGTTAAAATAAAACAAAAATCAATCAAAAAGTTATACACAATAGAGAAGCGAAACAATGGTTAGAGAGAAACCAATAGTAACTTTAATTGCAAAACCAGGACATACCGAGCACTGTATGCATATCCACGCCATACATCTCAAGCCATTTGGCTTTATTGAGATAATTGGCTTCAGCGGTGGCCGAATCCATGGACGCGGCGATCACTGGCTTCTGGTCGCGGTTAGACGTGTTGATGACTGGATCCGGTTTCAACGCTTTCCATTCCTCCAGTATTTTGGTCTCGAGGTCTTCGGTCTGATTGGGAACGAAACGGAACTCCGAGATGAGCGCCAAGTCGTGGTCCTCTTCGTCGAAGTCACCCAATTCTGACTGCATTGTGAGCGCCGCCAAAGAGGCCGACACCTCAACACTACACGGAAGGCGTCCGCTCTGAATGTCTTGTTTCAACTGTTCCGGCGGTCACACAATCATTAGTATTGCATTCAAATATGACAATCAATTGAGACAATACCTGAAGGAAGAAGAGGTAACGCGTGAACTCGTCCTTCAGATTGTTTGGATCGGATGAGTAAAACTTCACCCGCAGTCTGAAAGTATAGGGCGGACCGATCCTCACTTGTTTGCGGATCTCTTTCGTGTAGTCCAACCAATGGGACTGCGATGTGGTGTCCGTGTATTGGAGGCCGAAGTAGTCGTTCTCGACGGTCAACGAGATCTTATCGCACAACTCGTCAAAGAGTTCGCCTCCGAGAGACTTCTTGGGCACAAACAACGAGACATCGGTTCCGTCCAAAAGCATGACTTTGCAGTGGAGATAGTGTTTGAGATTTGCGGTCACCTGTGGTGGCGGTCCTGTCGTCGGGTGACTGCCTTGCGATGTGTGCGACCATCGGTTGGTCTCCTGATTGTGGCGATTGATGTCATGTCTGTTAACACGGAATCGTTTGGAAAAGAAACGAAGCATTACTTCACGGGATGTGATTCAAGTGATCGCGAAGACCACTACACGGTATGGACAGCAATGGACAGCAATAGACAACAAAGACCAGACACTCAGTGATCACTGGATTTGATTCACATCTAAACGGCAAACCATTTGCCAAATGATAATCAAAATCAAAACCACGGATCAAATGGTGACAATTGTTTTGCCAAAACACTAATCAAAATACACTATATTTTTGGCATATATTATACGAAAACATCAATCAATGAAACATATATTTAACCACTTTTTGGGTGAAAATAACAAATTGTATGAATTGTTTGACAAAACTTTTGTTTTCAAATTATATTCATTGAAGCGTTTATTACAACCACTAGTCGTCTATTGAAAGCCTATGTTATCGTATATTCACTGCAAAACTCATTACAAATATAACATTTTTGGGACACATTTAGCGTTCACTTATTGGGCACTTTGTTTCACACAATCCGTCAGATTGTCTTCATTTACACCACAAGTGATGGACACAAACTTTGTCGGGGAAGTGATAGTCAGTGATCATAACAGGGCAGCAATGGTTAGATGAATAGCATTGACAGCGAATGCTATGTGTGTTTCACAGCCATATTGAAAGGCTGTGTATATTGTGTGTTGTGTTTGTGCAACAGTTTTTCAGACTCACAACTCGACGACTCTCTGAATGTCTGTTCCCCTCAAAACACAGCCACCAGTTGTGCCGATACTACACTATTGCCATCAATTTAATCCCCTATACCTGTGCCAAAAGGCTACACAACCCCACCATATATTATACGAGCACTTGAATA